TTAGTTCATTTAATGACTATGTTCTTATAAATGAAATTAAACTGCTCTCAAAATAAATCCTCTAGGAGTCAATATATCCTCTGCAGGGAACCAAATTCGTTTTCAAATCAGGAGTTTTTTGATGCTTCAATTTCATCCCATATTGCAGCTTCAATTTTTGAAGTATCATATTCCCTCATCATATCAAACTCAAGCCACGGCTGACTCCACTTCTGAGCTTCTTTCATTTGTTCCTCAGTTAAATGAAGATCAAATCTGATTCCTTTAATATTAAAATTTGGACGTTCCCAGCGTTTGGACCAGGGCCTAGGCTTCATTTTGACTTTCAGCTAAGGAAGATACAAAAAGAAGGAATTAGGCTGATCGACATAAGCAAAAATTCTTCTAAAGTTTTCATTTAGATGATTCTTTCTTATTTTACACTTAAATTTCCAGTTTCAAACATACAACCTATACCTTATTAACAGGAACTTCTTGGCCAGGCTCTCGTGATACTGGCTTCATATTCACATCAAAAGTGCTGTATTCAGGAAGGGCATCTCTTAAGTACAGCAACTTATCATCCAGCCGTTTCTCTAATTTGACCACTTGGATCTCCTGAACTCGAGGATTATAAAGTTCAAAGCAAATCTCAACACCTGAAAAGAAAAGAAAACATATTCCTACAAAGTCCAGATTCTTGTACATGCCTCAACTACAGTAGAAGTATTTCAAATATAGCATAAGGTTTTGAATGCAGGAAATGTGACATAAAATTGTCATGTTTTAAGATGAAGACTGCTGAAAGAAATAGAAATAAACTAAAATCCATTTAAATAAGAAGTGAGAAAGTCTGAATTATTAACAGAATGATAGTCTAAAGAAAAAAATGTCTTCTATAAATATATTGAGTCATATATCTCCTCAATCCTGACAGTGTATTAACTTAGAGAAAGTCTGAGTAAATTCTTCACTACGCCGTGTTCTTGTTTATCTCCCAATTACTTGAATAAAGATCAATCTTCCATGTTAACAGTAATAGGATTAATGATTCAAAAAGAGTAAGCAAAATTTTAAGTTCCAACTTTTGTTACAAGTTCTCTTTAAGGATGGCCTAGGTTTTTTAACACACTAGGGCCCTCTGCATGAAGCAAGCTAGGAACAGCTTTCAGCACATCGAGACACTACAAGTAATAGTTTAATATAATCTGTATTATCAAATACTTAAGGGTAAGAGTATATTCTGAGGTTTTCTGGAACAATCCCAACAGAAATACAAATATTATTTACATGATCAACATTAGCTTCTAATATTTAATATCAGGATTCAATTCAGTATGTACTGTATACCTATTCTGTTCCAGGTA